TACATCTTGCTTTGCACTTTTAATTTCATATTTGAATAATATGATGAAATGTTTTTAAGGTATTAGGGTACCTAACGGTAAAAGATGTTATTCAAAATAAGTTTGCAGTGAGATCTAGGCATTGATTTTATTTAAGTTCACAAATATTAGTTTACGTAAATAGATTTTTTAAAAATAATTATTAAAGTCGTTTTGTGCAAAGATTTTGCATCTCAGTGGGACGAGCTACCTGAGGGTTAGGTCAACGTGGTGTAGATGTCTTCCTTTGCATCGTTGTTGAGTTGTGCTTTTGTTCCGGAGTCGTGGTTCTTATTGGTATATTTTGAATATTTTTGGTGACAGGAGTATGTTGATTTGTTTGTAATGAGATACGCGAGTTAAAATGCATACGTTCATTGAGAATTTGATCATGTTAACGGCGGAGACATGATATTGGACTACTACTGCTTCAAAGATTACGTGATGAATGACTACCGTTTGCAAATCCCCAAATATTATGGACAGTCTCCAATACGAGAAGGGCACTATACGGAACTAAGTGGTTACGAGAATACTTATTAGATAGACTGCTCACGATCATTGAACTCATGAATTGTCGCAGCAGAGCAGATAAAAAGGGCTCTGACCTTGCCAACCACAATATAATGTAGTACCAAGTAATACAGTTGGAGACAAGTGGCATCGTCCGCACGCAACCCGGCTGGTAAAAAAGAAAGATTCTGAAAGCTGTCACGGTGGGACGGACCAAAAATTGAGCTTAGCAGGCAGAAAAAACCTAGTAAAATCAGTCTAGGATGGTTTTGTCTGTTACGTTTGATTAAATTGTGAATGAATGTGTGCCATTTGAACTCTGTCTCAGGGTAGAAACATATCGCCATGCTCTTGCGACTTTGCACTAATACCAAAAATATTCTGACACACCGGGAGAAGCCACAACTTCGGCAATAAAGCGGGGTTTTTCATTCAAAAATATGGAAGGACTACTACTCTAGGTTTGATTCATGATCATCGCATTTCGCTCGCCACTTTGAGATGCAAGTTCGTAGCGGTTGTTTGTTACGGATTAAACAATGAATTCGAACTAAAGAATTAAGATAATTAAAGAAAAATTCTAATTAAGTTCATATCTGCACACCCTAATTGAAAAACAATGCCTAGATGCCACGAAAAACATCTTTTGAAGAACATCTACTACATTGAGTATTTTACTACTGTTTCTCACTAGGTTCTGATTTTTTCAGCATAATTAAGATGAATTTTTCGAGTTTAACTGCTAGAGGTACAACATGGGTCGAGAGACTTGAATGACTGACCGATGTTTTGAGGAAAATTACTAGTTTTGGAAACCTGTTTGTTTTGTAATTCTCGATATTTTAGGATCTTAACTATTGAGCTGATATGCTTTTCTTCATTTCATTGAACAGGATTTCAGAGATTGTTTTTTTTTGTTGTGATTTTTATCATAGATACGATAATTATGTTTATGTGATTACATACTTATTGTTCTAGGATGCAGTCGTTGATCGATTTCGAAACTGATTTTTTCAATCTTATTTCTCCGTCGAGGAAGCGGTTTCGTTCAGTAAATTCGTTTTTTTGTTCTTTTGCTTTTAGTTAAACTTTTTGGTTTTAGGGGTCGAATAGAGCTACGAATGTCACCTTGCAATGTCATCGTGTTACGAGAGAACAGCGAGGAAAGGCGGTAGGTAAATACCCGGGCTTCAAGGGCTGCACCGTATGGTTCACGGGTAAGCTGTTTCTTTCAGAATATTGCTGCAAGAAATCACCTCAGTTAAAAGATTTTGAATTTGCATTTTGATCATTTGCTTTTGTCTTCCAAAATAGATAAACGAGTATCACCGCTTGGAATTGAGTACGAATGATAACTTTGAAGGGACACGAGGATACTTTGATGCTGTAGCGATCACTTAGTTTTAAGTATTGCTTTCTAAAGAAGCGACATTATGACATCAAAACACTCTTGGCGTTTCACCAGTTTCGGGTATATACCGTTTCAGATATCGCTCTGTGATATTTTGCATGCGCTGTTTGGATGCAAATCTGTGTTTGCTGTTAACGCTTGATGCTGCGCTGTTCTCTTTGATTCTGTATAATTGAATAGTGGTTGTTTTCCTCAACTGTTTGATTCAATCCTGTATATTGCATTTCAGTGGAACGGTGCCTTTGAGTGAAGTTTAGTCCTTTCGTCAGATTTTTAATTTTTAATTTTAATTTAATTTCTTTTTGTGATTGTATGACGTCATTAATTCAGAGAGTAGTCTAGTCCAGTGGTAATGAGCTTTTGTCTGTCTCTTTGACAGATAGGCATTTGTATCATGTGCTTCAGTTCA